AGATAGAAGCCATAGAAGTCAATTGGAGGACATGGATTACTATCATTCTGACTCGGAGAGTTATTTGATAGGTCTGCGTTGAATTATTTTAACTATACAAGACTGTTTCGTTTAAGTTGTCTAAAATGCTGAAAAACTGCCTTAGGTCCCGAGATTAATTGATTTATTTATTTCAAAACAGTTGTACAATAAGTTTAATAACCAGACCCTTTTAAATGGTTGATCCGATTTTAGTGTATGAATCTTTGTTTGAAGTAAATACAGAAATCGGTAGGGGTCTTGTATCATAAATTGACTTTTTTCAAGCATACATCATTAAAGATGAAGCAATAGGCTACCTATACTATAGTTAGTCTAGTGACAAGCACTTATGTTACGAACTACAATTCGTCATCATCAACTACTTCCATGGCTGGAACAAATGTCTCTTTCTTCAGACAGAGGTTTGTCATGGACACACCAAAGGAGTTACGAGTGCGTTGCCCTTTTGGGAAGTAGGGTTTTGGGAGGCACTAACAATGATTCTCTGGGGCCTTCGGTAACCTCACTCTCACACACACAATGCAGTGGTTTTATTATTTATTATTTCACGCTGGTTTTCTGTGAGGCCGTGTTGTTACTCCGGTCGAGACGATCCATAAGCATGACTCCTCCACACTGAAACCTCACCCACACTTTTCAAAACAGTATCGAATTTTAATTTGAAAGAAATGTACTGAATAAAAGTATGCCAAAATTCAGTAAAACCGAAGATAATTTAAAGAAACAGAAGATTTTGTTTCTGGGTGGTTTTAAAGCAGGAAAGTATGTTTTAAAATATTATCAGCTCACTGCGGCATTTAAATTGAGAACAAGATTATATGGAAAGATAACGTTTTTAAAAAAGATGTCTTGTTAATAATTGTCACTACATCTCCTAATAATGAAGTTTGTATAGAGTTATAAGAATAAGGATTTAAGGTAAATTTTGGTTTCATCTTGCAACTTCCAGTGTCACCTAGTTTATGAACCATTCATCAACGAATTGACCAATGAGTTTAATTATATTCAGTGCATCTTTATTAAATGGCTGTCTCTGGTGTTAGTTTTTATACTAACTTTTTTTATCAGTTCTCAAAATACAATATTATTATTTACATTAAAACATTTTACTTTATATTGAAGTGTCAAAAATAGCTTCTGACTACTAAAACTTACAAAAACGTGGGGTATACATACCTACCTTTATTTTTAACAACTATTCAGGTATTCGCCTGGGAACTAAATTAAAATCTCTACATTAATTTTAAAAAGATGAACTCGCATAAAATATTAGGTACGCCAAAGTTAATGAAGAAACTGAAAAATGTAGCTCTATTTAAACTTACAAATTTAAACGAAAATCTTTTTGCCTCGCTATTCCCAGTGTTACAAATTCATGCATATTCTGTGTATTCACACACACGTGTAATATTATTTTACTTACATACTAATTATCAAAAACACAGTAACGTAGATATGCTACGAGTATCAAACAATACACGTAAATGCTTTCAGTAGCGACATCTGTATTTTATTGGTGGTAGCGCTTTGTCGATAATAGCGCCATCTCTTAGACTTATGCTGAACAGTAAACAAAATCGATGATGATTTGATTTAAAATAAAAATGAAAATTACTTTACGTTTTAAAAAGGTTAAAAGAGGTAAAATAAAAGATCGAGCTGAAAGAACTCTTTTAAAATATCAAATCAATTGAATGAATGAATCAATGAATAAAGTCAATGTTTCAAACATTTCTCTGTCAAGTATTGAAGGATAACACTCCTACGTTGTAGTGATTCGAGAAACCTTTTAACACCTACACGAGTGGGTTCCGCACTTCGTTATAACACTGGTTTGAATCAAACATTCGATACTGTGGTGTATCTTTCAAACGAAACCCGGGAGTTCCCTTGGCTCTTCTTTGTAGACTTGCGACTAATCGTTATTAAAATAAAAAGTTAAATTATTGCATTATTTTATTATTATTATTTGTATTGTTGAATTTTAAATGTGTATATATCTTACTGTAGAAAAAGTTGTACATTAAACTTACACCGTTAAAATAAGTAATAAAAATTAATTTATATTTTGACAAGCCAAAAAGTGCTTTAACTACTCATTTGAGAATAAAATGATAGCTGCAAGTCCTCAAAAATTAAGATAGTTATGCACATTATATTTTCATAAACGCCATTACTTCATAAATTATAATTATTACTTTTAAATATTATTCCACCACAGGAATCAAATATAAGTTGATTATTACACTTACGACTATTTGACCAGCATGGTGGTTCTTAATTCTGCATAGGATATTTCGAGTTAATTCAATGAAAAATGTAAAAGTTTGATTGATGTGTTTAAACAAAATCTTTGTACCTGTATATTTGTTACATACATATTTTAAAGTAGCAGTAGTGTTGAATAAGAAAAAAAACATGGTTGAATATTTGATTGCACTTGTTAGTTATTATTAGTTTTAATTCTCAGCCAAAATCATAGTATAGGTACGGTCTAGGGCAAAAATGCAATTCCACTTTACCAAATATGTAAAACTTCTTTGAAATACAAGTTCAACGATCTAAAAACTTGTCTTTAATTACTTTAGAATCTATGCTAAAAATTTATTAGTCAAGGAATCTTTGACCCTCAAGTATAAAAAAATTTAGACACTTTATCATTGGTTAGGTACAACTACACTTTTGTCCCGTACTGCACAGCAAAATCAATAACATCACAAAAAAATCGCAGTGTCGACATTTAGTCGCAAGTCTGCGAACTCGTCTGGCTTACTCAGTACTACAAGTCGGGCACTCAATGCCAGAGTACATAACGACAACACATGCAGACGTATTGAATGCAGCTGCCATAGCTTGTGAACCGAATTAGCACTTTAACCCTTGAGGTTAAGGTCGAGATTGCATTTCTTGGAGAGAAAAAGTATGTTTGTTGACTTGTAAAGAGCTGTTGACGTGTTGAATAGAACTGTCACAGAGTTGATAGTCAATGAAGAGCTACCTATAACATATAACAGAGTAAATTGTTATGATGAAAATTGTTTTTTTTTATATAATTGGTCGGTAACGAGCAGACAAATGACTTGATGGTAAGCAGTGAATGGCAACCATGGATACCCACACAACCAGCAGAGCACAAGTGCGTTGCCGGCCTTTTGAGAATTAGTTTCAGAGATTTTGGGATTGGAAAGGAATAGGGAGATAGGAATCATTGGGCCTCTCCGGTAGCCTCACTCACACGGTAGAATACAACGCTGTGCTTTTTTAACGCCGGTTTTCTGATAGGCCGTGGTTTCACTCCAGTCAAGCCGCTCCATTCGTGCTGAAGCTTGATTTACCAAAATTGTATGTTATTCTTTAATTTAATCACAATTACTATTATAACACATTTCAATTAAACTCAAATATTAGGTTACAAGATAATTGTTTTGATAAAACAATAATTATAAGTTAGATTTATTTTAAACTAGCTTCCGCCAGCGGCTTCGCCCGTCTCCAATGGGTAAATTCCCTATTACTTACTAAGTCTAATCTAAGGTAAGGATCTAACTAATAGGTAAGTATTACAAAATTTGTACGCGTTTTAAAATATAATAGGTTTTATGAAATATTAAATATTTCATAAAACCATTTAAATTTTTAATTAATTAAAACTATTTTATGAAATATTAAATATTTCATAAAACCTATTATATTTTAAAACGCGTCGCGTCGAACGCGGCAACCGTTACACAAAATTAATCCTTATAGCATGATTCAGTGTTCACATGCGACGGCGCGATGGCTTACCCGAACTGCTAAGCTATGAGGAGTTACACGTGCTATTGTGAGTTAACCATATATGCTATACAGCAATTTTGTTTTATATAATGTTGTGTAGAATATTTTCGTCATACATACTTTCTATGTAACTTTAACGCGACGGAAACTTAGAAAAGAGAGTAACTTCTCCCGTTTTCACAACATATCCCTTCACTGCTCTGCTCCTATTATTTGCAGCGTGATGAAAAGTATCCTGTCCAAGACCCTGTAACCAAGATTGTAAGACCAATAACCTGTCCAAGAGTATAAAGAATAATTGTACCAAGTTTTGTTAAAATCCGTCGAGTAGTTTTTGTTTCTATAAGGAACATACACAAAGACAGACAGACAAAAATTTTACTGATTGCATTTTTGGCATCAGTATCGATAACTTATTACCCCCCGGTAGTTTTTTTGAAAATATATTTTATGTACAGAATTAACCTCTCTACAGATTTATTATAAGTATAAATATCCTGGCAAAATAGGTTGTCTAAAAATCGCAAACAAGGCAAGGTGTGCGTTAAAGTATAAATTAATCGATAAATATTTGCAAATGATCAAAGTATATATAAGTCCTAGGTTATTTTATAAAATGCAAGTCAGTATAATGCAGTAAAAGGTGGGGCCTCCACATAAACCAAAGTCATTCTAAAAATAAAACAAAAGTGCTGGGAGATCGTAGCTCACGCCGCTGGCCGACACTTCGGCTAACGTAACACTCCATTTATTATATCCTCTCTTACAAACCGGTAAAGCTCATCTGTAATACTTCAAGAGAGAGTGCGACGTTTGATTTTTTATTATTATCGCCAATCGTTTTTAGCCATAGTAACAATGTTATGAATGATTTGATTGTTATTCAACACATCTGTCGTAGTAATAATAGTATTATTAAGTTCGTTATTAATTTTTTTGTCTTTGAACTGCTATTTTCTTCTCGTTTTGTTTCGTACACATAGTCAAAGGAATGAGTGACTATTTTGAAACAAGAAACTCCCATCAAAATAACCCATTTCGACATGAAATAAAGGCAAACACATTTGCATTTTGTTGTAATGTGAATAAAGATTTTGAGTTATGTACTCAAAATCTTTATTCACATTTTATACTCTTCAAAATTAACTCAAAGTGCTAGGAGATATGAAACTGACACCCAGAGCCTGCAGTCAGAACTAGACCAATTAACATCCAAGTTGGAAATAATGTCTAATAAATATAGTGCTTCAGAAAGGCAGATGAGGGAATACATGTTGGCAATGAATGAGTTGGTAAGCTCTCAGGAGAAACAGTGTGAGAAGTGCGCTCCAGATGCTATACTGCCTGCTCTTTCTCTGCCGGCATGTGAAACCACCTTACCTCATGGTGGAGGTTTACTGTTTCCTAGTAATTGTAATTCTAATTCTAGTAGTCATAATATTGTGATTTTCAGTGATGAGATTGGAAAGAACTTGGGTTCAATATTGACAGATGAATTACCTGGACAGTCAATATTTAATCACTGTATGCCCGGCTGTAATTTTGTTAATATCTTGGATAAAATTAATAATTATAGTTTTCATCAAAATTCTACCCTCATTATTATGTGTGGTAACAGAGGTAGTCTAAATAAAAAAAGTTTAATTAATTTCCACAATTCACTTGCCAAACTTAATTTAAAACAGATCATTATATTTGCTTTACCTTATATTAAAACGTTGCCACAGGAAGAAAACAATATTAGATATAAAATTAACACTACATTGTATAACCTAAGCAACTATTCTAATATTCACTTTATAGACACCAACAATTATGTTGGTCTTAATATATATAAGACAAAAGATAGGTACTATCTTTCAAAATATTATTTAAGACAAATAGCAATATCGCTATCATATTTTTTTAATATATCAGCCAATAACTTGGCTAAACAGGTTACTCCTATTGAGCAACCAAAAAATATTGACATTCATAATAATTCACCTAATACTGACATTCATAATAATTTAAATTATTAAATAAGACAATAGAGACAACCTCTTGCAAATTAAACAGTAATAAGGTTATTAATCTGGTTCACCAAAATATTCAAGGCTTTATGAGCAAAGAATTAGAAATTGAGTTATTTTTAAATTGTAATAATGTGGATATTTTGTGTATAACTGAACATTGGCTAAAACCTCATCAGCTCATGTTCAATTTTGGTAACCAGATTGGTAGCTCGTTCAGCAGAGTAAACGCTATACATGGTGGCTCACTTATACTGATAAGTAATCAGCTTAAATTCAAAGATCGCAAAGATATAGTTAGTTACTCTGTTGAGCGTACTGTTGAAATAGCCTGTGTGGAATTGGAGCGGTTTATTGTATTAAGCGTGTATAGACCACCTTCAGGTTTGTATGACTGTTTTGAAACAGTAATGGATGAAGTATTAAGTAAACTTACAAATTCAAAGAAATCCATCATTACATGTGGTGATTTTAATATAAATTTATTAGAAAAATGTAGTTTAAGCACAAAAATTGTAAGTTTATTTTCTTCATACAACCTTGCGAATTTGTTTCTGGAGCCAACTAGGATAACACCCACTAGTGCCACTTGCCTGGACAATATTTATACCGACATTGTGCCAGTTAACAAAGAAATAATTTCAGTACTTGATTCCGATCATTGTGGTCAGTTAATTTCTTTAACAAATGAAATAAATATAGTGTCAAAACAATTTATCACAGTTAATCCGAAGACTAAAAGACGCATTGAATTTTTCAAAGCTAAACTCAGCAACAAATTGCCTTTGTTGTTGAATTATAAGAATTCTAACACTTTATATGATAAGTTTTTTAAAATGTACCTAACAGAGTTTAAGTCTACTTTTACAGATAAAACTATTCCAGCTAATAGCAATGTGTCTTTTGGTGATTGGGCAACCACTGGTATCTATAAGAGTAGAAATCGCCTCTATGAGCTCTATAATGAGCGGACATATATTAATACTGTTGAATTCAGTGAATATGTAAAAAACTATTCTAAATTATTTAAAAAAGTTTGCTCTATTGCAAAATCTCTATTCTTAAGCTCTAAGATAAAGAACAGTACCAATGTTATCAAAGACACTTGGAACATTATCAACAGTGAGGCAGGAAGGTCTAAAAAAAGAATTAGTCAACATAGTCTAGTAATTGATAATAAGTTAATAAAAGCGGATGTAGAAATTGCAACTGCTTTTGAACATTTCTTTTCCGACATTCCTGTATCCACTACAAAGTCACTGAATTCATCTCCCACTGTTGCAGAGTCTTTACTCAAAGAACATGTTGTAGCTTGCGATTCAGGGTTTTCCTTCAAACACATAGATAACAAAGACATTGTTAAAATCTTTAATACTTTGAATAACAAAAAGACTGCAGATCTATGGGGTAATTCTGTGTACATTACAAGCTCTGTAATAACTATTGTAGCACCTGTATTGGCTCAAATCTTTAATAACTGTATTGACTGTGGTGTGTTTCCTGATCTTATGAAATGTAGTAAAATAATTCCATTATTTAAATCAGGTAGTACTTCTGACCCCACTAACTTTAGACCTATTTCAGTACTACCTACGTTCAGTAAAATTTTTGAAAAAATCATTTTAGATCAAATGCAAAGATTTTTTAATAGAAATAAATTATTACATGCGAAGCAGTTCGGATTTACAAGGGGTCGTTCAACAACTGATGCCGGTGTTGAACTTCTTAATCATATTTACGACGCATGGGAGGACTCAAGCGACGCTTTGGGAATATTTTGTGATTTATCCAAGGCGTTCGATTGCGTGCTTCATGATACACTGATCAGGAAGCTTTCCCATTACGGAATTAGAGGTGCATCTCTGGACCTTCTTACCTCATACCTGAGTAATAGGGTTCAGAGAGTCGAAGTAAACGGAATGGTTTCTGCCGGGTCTGTTGTGAAGATGGGTGTTCCGCAGGGTTCTATTCTCGGCCCGTCAAAAGTCAAAAAGTCAAAAGTCAAAAATCATTTATTTCAATTAGACCACAGTAGGCACTTTTGAACGTCAAGCAAGCAAAAAAGGAAAAAAGTATATATAACAAGAGCTTTAAAATTAAGCGTGTCAGTCTGTCCGTCTGTCCTCTAGTGAAGCTATTTGCTCGTTCCAAAGTGTAGATTCCTATGGAGAAGAACGAGCAAGAAACTCCATGGTTACTCTTTTTCAATCAGTTTTACAATACATTTCTTTGTTACATCATTTAGTCGGTTCTGATATGTGAGAACAATGTAACACTAATGTTCAGGCAAAAAGTACGAAAAAGAAGTGAACCTCAAGGACAACATATTTAGACAGCCTGGAGATGACCAGTCCCAATAGGCGGCGCCCGTTCACGAACATGACACGTACACCAGCACCGCCCAACTCAACCATATTATAGGGAATTGGACGATCCAGTGCCCGTGCCACCGCCAATGAGACCTCTGAGTGAGCATGACAGCTCCCAGCCGACACAAGTACCTATATTCTACAAGTCTTACTTAATTATAATAGGTTACAGGGCACTCACATTTACAAAATCTTAGAAGTTCATCAACAATTAACAACATAGTGTACAATTGAATAATTAAAAAAAAAAAAATACTCTAAACATCCTGTGGAGTAGGACCAGCTAGCCTCCAAGCATTTTTATCTTGTATATAATCATTTAGTTTGTAGTATGCTAGTTTACATAAATGTTTCTTTATACATAATTTAAATTTGCTTTCATTTAAATTTTGAATTTCAACTGGGATTTTATTATAACATTTAACACAGAAACCCAGGAATGACTTATGCACTTTTGCCAATCTAAATAAAGGCTGACTCAATCTATTCCTATGTCTAGTATGATAATCATGTTTGTCAGATACCTTTACAAATAAGTGTAGGTTTTTCCTAACATACATAATGTTTTCATAAATAAATTGACTCGGTACGGTCAGAATGTTGATCTCTTTAAACTTTTCTCTGAGAGATTCCCGACGACCTAAGTTATATATAGCTCTGACGGCACGCTTTTGCAAGATAAAGATAGACTCAACGTCAGATGCCTGTCCCCACAACAAAATTCCATACGACATGATGCTGTGAAAGTAGCTAAAGTACACTAGTCTTGCCGTGCCGACATCGGTTAGCTGACGGATCTTCCAGACAGCATAAGCTGCAGAGCTCAATCGTCCTGCTAGAGACCTGATGTGGGGCCCCCATTGCAACTTCTCATCTACAGTGATCCCCAGGAAAGTAGTCTCTTTTACAAATTCTAGTTTCTGATCATTTAATAATATATCATCACATACGTTATTTTTAACATTTGGTAAAATAAATCTAATGCATTTAGTCTTTTTATCATTTAGTAATAAGTTGTTTATTGTAAACCAATTTTGAACCTTCATTAAGGCATTATTAACTTCGTCATATTTGTTTGTTCGTCTATTTATTTTAAAAATCAATGAAGTGTCATCAGCGAATAATACCATATGCGGTTCATTTTGGAACATATGGGGCAGGTCATTTACATAAACTAAAAATAGAAAAGGACCTAATATTGAGCCCTGCGGTACGCCCATAGATACGCTAGCACCCAGTGAGTTAACTTTGTTGACTTGTACTTTAATTTTTCTTTCTTGAAGGTATGATTTCAATTTGAAGGTATGTTTTTATTTCTTATCTATATTAATGACTTGCCTTACCTTGTAAGGGATAAACACGAGATAGTGCTGTTTGCTGATGATACCTCACTATTATTCAAACTCAGACGACGACAATCATTAATTGACAATGTAAACAGTGCTCTCTCAGAAATAGTTCACTGGTTTGGTGTGAATAACTTATTACTAAACGAAACTAAAACTAAATGTATTAAATTCACAACACCAAATGTTAAACAGATAAAAACCAGTGTGCTTGTCAAGGGCGAGGAGTTGAGTCCTGTAGATACAACTGTCTTTTTAGGTATAACCCTGGACGCTAAGCTCCAGTGGGGCCCACATATAGATGGCTTGTCGAAGAAGCTCAGTTCTGCAGCATATGCCGTTAAAAAAATTAGAAATTTAACAGATATAGATACAGCGCGGTTAGTTTATTTTGGTTATTTCCACAGCATCATGTCATACGGTATTGTGTTGTGGGGGAATGCTGCTGACATCCAGTCTATTTTTGTTCTGCAGAAAAGGGCTATTCGATCAATCTATAATCTTAGTCCGAGGCATTCGCTCAGAGAATTATTTAAGGAATCTAAAATAATGACAGTTGCCTCTCAATATATTTATGAAAATGTAATTCACGCTCATAAAAACAAAAGCTTATTTAAGAAATATAGTGATATACATAATATCAACACGAGGGGGAAAAACAAATATGTTGTGCCTGCCTCCAGGCTTCAGAAAATAAGTAGTTCGTTTAGGTGTCAATGTATACGCTTTTACAATAAAATTCCTAGCGATATTCAAAATTTGAGCCTCAATAAATTTAAAAGTATAATAAAGGCTAAACTTTGCTGTAAAGCATTTTATAAAATAAAAGACTACTTAGAGGATAGCCAGGCTTGGGAATGAGCCGCTGTAATGTCTGCACAGGTCATGTTGACATGTTTGTAACATAAGTTACACTTTTATATACAATTTGACATTACGTTTATTTTTTTTTATACAATGACATGATCACATAGTGTGACATTTTTATTTTTTATTTGACATTTTTTTTTATTTATTTGTTGACATTTTTATTATTTTATATTATTGTTAGTGTAAGGACCGTGTGAGACTTGTCGTGCTTTTTTATCACCAGTCATCTGCGTTCTGACAGTTTGAGTACTTGCGCGACCCACCCAAATGTTCTTTTGATCGGTATTGTTCGTCGGACAACTCAACAGCACTAGCTATATGGTTGCAAACTGACACTTGCGTGCCTGTCTTCAGAACGGGTCCACTTAAACTGGTGTGGTTCTTTCCTCAAAAGACCACTACAGAATGAACTTGCACGGTTCTCTCACATTATGTTATTTTATATTGTCTGGACTTGAAAAGAGACTGACCTCTGAGTTTGTTTCGGCATTTCTTCTCAGAGTAGTCAGATAGGAAATGCCGGCTTCATCTAGTTTTTCACATATAATTTGACGTGTAAAAGTGCCGTTTTAAGGCCTATTTGCAAAAATAAATTCATTGTTTCATTGTTTCATTGTTATATAATAGTATTAACACTTCAACAAACAACCGAACTATAAATGTTTGTACTGAAAATATCCTCTTCAAAGATTTTTTCATACATATACCAGTGAACAAAAACTATGCTACGCTTTTCGTAGTAATCGGTGCAAATCGTCACGTAGCACATAATTCGTAGCTCAGCCGTAGACCGGTCACGTAGACATCCGCGTCGACCGTTTCATAACAAATCAAAAAAATATATACATTGTTGGTAAATGTGGTGTTTGCTCATGGAAAATTCATATTAGGCTTATAAACATTTGAGATTTTATTTTAATATGACAAACAAAGTACATTTCCCTAATATTTTTTCATGACTTTTCAGTAATACGAAATACTAATACATTTATAATAAAAATGATTTAATTCAATTTCCTTTTTAAAGTCAAAGGTTTTGTGTCTATTTCTCGTAGAAAATCTTACGACGCATTTATATTCAAACCAGGATAAAAATGTCTGAAGATGAAAATTGCACTTTTGCGGTTGGGAAACTTTAGTTTGCAGTAATTTAGTTATTTTTTATGTAAGATAAAAATTAAGTTAAATTACTTCCTCTAAATTAAATAAGACAATAATGACAATTTATTTCGTTCCTTACTTTCAATTTCGATATTTATTCCAAGCTTGGTCCTATAGTTTAATCCTTACGAATCTGTTGAGATATTTTGAGCATAATAAAAGAGATTGGCGGCTATCAGTCCCTAGATTTTCTTCATAAAATCTAGGCGCCTATTAAAAGTTTTCCCACATCACCCCAAAACCATATATCCCACTGCAGAGAAAACTACCTTTTTCTAACATGGACAAGGACCAATTTCTTTCCGTAAAAAGCACTTTATATACTTCTTCACGTGCCTTTTTAAACACCACAATACTGAGTCCTACAAAGAATCATGTTTTTTCTTGTTTTGTGACTATCGTGAGGTATATTCAATTATTTAAAGATAATAAGGCAGCTGCGCAACACCACCGCGACGCGCACTCTATTCCTGAATACGAGTCCCGCTGTGACATGAAACTAGTAGAGATTTTCTCGCTTAATTCACGCAAGTAAGTCTATATTTCAATAAATTTACCACGAAATCTATAAAAGCTAATAAGGACTCCTACTGCACTTTCCATATTAACTTCACCGAAATTCTCGAACAAGGACTAACAGAACAAGTTACTATGATACAGTTCTGACTAAAACAGTGCTCATCTTGACTCGTACAAGTAATCAACTGCCGTACGTTAGTGCAAGTTGTACCAGTTCCCTAACTTCGGCACAAACACCTATAAGTTAGCCGGTGTCCTTAACAATGTAATAAACTTGCACATACCCCGCTCACAATATGGCTTTCATGGCAGATGCTGGTGTTTGGTCATTAGGAGTTCAGAAATATAATTAATGTTCTGTCTAGGTCATGTTTAGAAAATCAGAAGGCTAATTAGTAAACAAAATTTTTAGAACAGATTGTCCAGTTTCAAACGTCGTGGTGGCCCCGAGGTTAAGGCGCCCGATTTTCATACATGAGGGTGTGGGTTCGAAACCAGGCAAGTACTAATGACTCTTTCCAAATTATATGTACATTCTATCGTTATTTAGACACCACTGACATACGGCGAAGGTAAACATCGGGAGGAAACCTGGACGTATAATTCATAATTATATGTTTGGAATCGCCAACCCTTCCCCCCAACCCCAACTTCTCCGTGTGAGAAGAGGCCTTTGCTCAGCAGTGGGCACTTATAGGCTGATGATGATGATGATGATGTCCAGTATCATGGTATGGGACAGACATCTTTGTTAATTTATGCAACGCGCTAACACTGTAATGTAGTAATGAGCATTCTCCACCAGTAAAAATTTTGGGTAATGCTGCGAGATATATATAGCTATTTCACATAATGACCTATCTCATAAAGTCGTTTAAGTTATTTTTTTAATCTTATTTGTTTGATATTCTATTTACTTCCAATAAATCCATCGTTAAAATCATGATGTTTGATTTAGTAACAAATACGGTCCCATTAAGAACATCTTCTTTCTTCCGAGTTCGGTTAATAATACTTATTTATGTTTTATGACGGCTTTCCGTTACCATTCTTGTAAGAAACACAATATTTGTACAGTAGGGTTAACGACCGTGT